TGAACCTCCCCTTCCAGATCCTCTGTTTAAGTGATGTCAGCAGCTATGCTGGGAAGGCCCAGCTATGGGAATTGTTGGGCTTGAAGAAGAAAGCAGAGCATACTTCTATAAAAGTAACAAGTTTGTTGTTTTCCATTAAGCTCCACTGACTGGCTTGTTACTCATTATTCGTGAACAGTAAGTACAGTGACACATTATAAATGTGTTACTGCCAATGTTATGTTTAATTCTGTTACACAAATGCAATAACATTAATATGGCTATTTTAATAGAATAAGGGAGGACACCTTGCAGCTGGGGCTTTCCCTGCTATTTGCTCACGTAGGCAAGGAGAATCAACCCATGAGGCTTGAGCTGGGCAGGTCCTGAGTGGGAGGACAGCTCTCTCTGCCAGCCACTTCCTGCCTTTGCTCTGTTGCCTCTCTTACAGCAGTCACTCTGCTGTCAATTTCTTTCATATTAAAGATGAAAGAGCCTTTTCTTTTCTCTACTTCTGCCATGTTTCTTCCTGCTGTTGGTGAATGTGGCTTATCCTCAGTGTGACAAGTATAATCCTTTTCCTTCTGGTGGCTCCCTGGTGAGGCCGGCAACCCTATCACGGTCAGAGTTAGGACAGCCGTTGCCGCCTCCTCAGAAGGTGAGAGTCACACACGTGTACCTCTTGGCAGTGGGGAGTGCAAAGAAAGACAAATAGAGCCTGACTCCAAGTTCCCACCAACTTCTTCAGGAGATAGGGCGTGGTTCCAGGAGGGAAGTAGGACCACAGGGGTGGCTTCATGCTCCCCTCCTCCCCCAACATATGTGGTGACATTCTGCGGTCTCAGTTTTGTTGTTGGATACAACAGATTATCATGCTGCAATGCTGACATGGCTGCCGAGACAGCAGGAATTATGGCTTTTAATTGCTGTTCTTGGAAACAAGATTGCAGTGAAATCAGGAGGCAGCTTTTGCTAATCCACCCCTCTCCAGGCGTCAGAACCTCTGGCAATGCTGTTGGTCGGGTCAGGATTTCCCCTCTCCCTGCTCCCATCCTCCCCTTGTTTGGATTGCCAGCTTGTTCCCTAGTCAAAGAAAGGGCATTTTTAAGTCCCAATTCCTTGCACAGCCCCCCTTTGATGTCTTCAACATGGAATGGTGTGAAAAGTAGCAGGTGCCATTTTGAAATGCTAATTAACTGAACAGGAACCCCAGTCAGATTCTTTAGTCCCCTTAAAGCATGCTAAGGGCTCCAAACAGTTTAGGCTGTTTACTAATTTCCCCGTGGATAGGACAGGGGATGTTGCAGTTTCTTCTGCTCCCATACGTAAGAGATGACTGAGAGGTTTCTTAGGAGGAAATGCTCAGTCCTCCTGCCTTTGCCACATGCAATGTTTTAGTCTGACATTATGAGAAAGAATCAGATATTTGATTTAAAGTGCCCAGAACTTCTAGTTAAGTCTAGTGACCCTGATCTTCCAGGTTCAAGGGAAATTCTTTAAAAAGCCTTTCTTTCCTCACAATGTGCCTTTTCTGAGCATGTTTATGATGCCAGTTAGAAAAGAGTGGGACAAACTGAGTTGTTACCTGTCTCAGTTTGTTAAGAAATTTTCCAGTTTATCTCAAAAGTTAATGGATGGACCCAAAGTTCATTTAATGGATGCTTTTGTTACAACTCTCATTTCTTAATTATTTATGCCCAAAGTGTGTAGGACACTGTCAATAAAAGCGGCCAGATGATCTGAATATGCATTAAAGAAGGCCAGTGAAGCACTGACTCTTGCTTTTAGGACTTCTCCTGCTGGGTCCATTAAGAGCAGTTCCTTTTTTATTAGCTAGAGAAATACTTAAATAAATTCCTTCGAGTAATGGCAGGCTTTGCCGGAGTGTTAATGAAGTAATAAAGGCTGCGCCCTTTCCTTCTGATGTTGCCATTCAATGCTCTGCCAAGGGCTCAAGGTGCAGCTGTTCCAGTGAGAAAACCAAATACGGCTCAAAAACTGGCAGGTGGCTACTCTGGCCAAAAATAATCTCTGTTTGGTTTTCCATTTGGGAGAACCAAATTGTTTGTTCAGGATGATAAGAAATCAGGTTGACATTTTCCAGCATTCTTTTCAGTCTTCTTATCCCCCACTATAAACTCAGAAAGGGCAGAGAACAGCACTTAATGGTGGAATAAGCGGGGGTTTCACCCTAGGCAACCCATCCAGTCCTTCTGTCTGTCTGTTCCCATAAACATAGAGGGGTTTTTGAACCATTACGTTTCATCGGAACACTTCTCTTGGAAGGTTGTTTTTCTGGTGGACATCATTTCAGGAAGGCAGGTCTCAGGATTAGGGGTGGTTTCTTGCTAGATCTGAATTGGGTGTCATTTAACCTTTGCTGAGCAGTCAGCCTGGCCCTGTTGTGCAACATGTGGATAAATCATTCAGAGGTCTAAAAAGATTCTTTCCTGCCTTCTGTCCAAATCTATACAGACCCTTAGAAGAAGCAGTGGCACTTGTTGGATGTTCAGTGAGCAACTCTTAAGATCTATTTGAAATCCTTTAGATTATTCATTCCATATTTGTTTTCTTTCTATCCAGGCATGATGGGGTAGAAGAGTATGAAAGACCACCTTTGCCGGACAGTTGAAAGCCTTGTAACTTGTCTTACGAGGGTTCTAGGCCGACATTGCCTAGAAAGATACATCTTCATTCCTTTCAGAGTGCTCTTACTTTGCTTGCCTTTAGCACCAGGACTCCCTTCTTAGATTTTTCTTGAGCAGCAATGGGGAATTCTCTTTTTAGCTTTGCTGAGCATTACAGCTAGATACCCTTGCTTTGGCTGAATCCTCTTTTGGTAGGAAAATTCTACAGAAGATAGTTCCAAGTAATTTGGGTAGATCTAGGTGGGAGAAGGCGATCTGCCAAATATCCTATGAAGATCATCCCACTCAGAGCTACAACCCTATTCAATGCATTTTAGTTGTTTAGCAGCTCTTGCCAACCTTGAATAGGCCTGTAGCTCTGGGTGGGATGATCTTCATAGGATATTTGGCACATCGCCTTCTCCCACCTAGATCTACCCAAATTACTCGGCACAGCTGACGGACACCAAGAGAGGTCCGGAAAGAAAGAACAAGAAACCGGGCCTTCTTGGTGGTGGCCCCTTGGCTTTGGAACAGCTTGCCATCAGAGATCCGTCTGGCACCTCGCTGGGTGTTTTTAAGAGTCATTTAAAGACTTGGCTCATTAGGCAGGCCTTCCCTTCTGTCAATTCTTGAATTCTATCTTCTTGTTTTTTATCATTCCCCATCTTGAATACACCATATTATTGATTTAATCATTTAATGTTTACGATGTTTTTATAATATTTTATGATACTTTATGATATTTGTAAGCCGCCCCAAGTAGACGCTGTCTAGGGGGGTGGGGCAGAAATCAGATAGATAGAGAGATAGAGAGATAGAGAGATAGAGAGAGAGATAGAGAGATAGATAGTCTTCTGCTATTGTATGAAAAAGGAATGTTGATACTTACCATAAGCTGTCCAGTTTTTGCAGTGGACAGAGGACATTCTACTACTTCCTTAGTAATTCACAAGAGCTGTTGGGTAGGCATGTTGTTATGTGTGCTTTCCTATTTTTAATGCAACTGTTAATTCCACCCCCTTCCCGATAACCTGTTTTCAGGTTAATTACAGGGAGTCTGGATTTTTTTAGCACCCTCTCTTTGCCCTCTCTCCCATCCTCCTTCCATTCTCTTTCTTCCGTGGCCGACCTGTGGCTTAGAGGTGAGCTGGTTTGCAGAGCGTTGCCTTCCTATTGAGGAGCTGAATGGTTCAAGCCTCACTGATTGATTCCTTCTGCCTGTTGGAGCAAGTCAGAGGGAAACCTCATAGTTGTAGGAGATCCTTGTTCCACTGCATAAAATAGACTCCTCACACAAAGCTCCTGTCCCACACAGTGCTACTTAGAGTGCACTATTTAATTTGTAATATGTTTCCAAAATTATTGTAGTAGTAGTAGTAGTAGTAGTAGTAGTAGTAGTAGTAGTAGTAGTAGTAGTAGTAGTAGTAATGAAGATCATCACCATCATCTTAGAACTATAGAGCTGGAATAAACCCTATGGATCATCGAACTTACATAATTCCTATTGAAATGTTAAGAAGGAACAATATTTATTAATTATTTATTAATTTAAAATATTTTTAGTGAAAATATTTTAAATTAATAAATATTTTTACTTCTCCTTTCCCCTTAAAAAGAACCAAGGCAGCTTACATATTAAAAACACAATATTTAGAAGCAAAAAAATGGCAAGTATATAAATATTTAAAAAGAATTTAACAAACATATTAAAATGGTAAATAAAATCAATACAATGATCTTTGTCACCCAGAAAATATGATTCTTATTACCTAGAAAACAAACATGTTACAACTACTGCTGATATGTCTTACTAATTCTAATCTTCTGACAAGAGGTACTGTACTGATTCTTCCATGACTTGCTGCTTGTTCATTTGCTGTTACTATTTTCTTCAAGGCAGATGCACTGATTGGATCCGAATCTTTTCGGTAGGAAATGATCCTCACAATGGGTAGTGGATCAGCGTTTGTGACGGTGCCATTCACTTCACAAGTGCACTGGGTGTTATTCAGTTGGCTCATTGCAGAGGTTACAAATGCTGCAAGCGCGTCTGCCCTCTCAAAGTAAAAGAGGCGCATTGGCTTCAATAAGAAACAGTGTGGATGTACAAGCCGTATTGGGTCCAAGAAATCTTCATCCCCCTTCAAGGCTGAGCCTAACTCTGCAGAAGAAGAATGGCCAAGCCGTGGGCTTGAAATAATTATATGTAAATATAATTAGTTTGAATATACTATTCCACTATCCACACTTCCAAGAACGTTAATCTTTTTGGCAAAATGAAAAGAAAAAAAAAGCCAGATTAGGGAAGGGTACCTGGAGCAGTGCCCATGCAGAAAAGCTGTGGCGTTGTTCAAGGCCTTTAAGCCATACCTAATATTCACTGGGCACGGTGCCAGCTCCGCTCTGGTTTGTAAGTCATTTCCAGCCATTATATAGCCATTATATAAAAGCTGCTTACCATAATCGAAAGGACTAGAAACATCATTTATTATTGTTTGAGATTTGCAAGGAGTCAAATTCTGAGATTGTGCTGTGAGGACGTTCAGACATCCTAAATACACACAGTTGTTCTATAATTGAAGCTGTGGAAGCGATCGGACTTAAATTGTGGATTTCTGACATGGAGTTCTTTTGTTCTGGTGTGAGGGATAAATACAGCCGCTCCATTGATGTTGTCTGTGGCAGCATTGGATGTGTTTGATGTAAGTTGTTTACGTGTGGACAAACAGCAGTCCTGCTGTGACCACTAGTGTCTCAAATAGAGATGGGCATGAATTTGGAGGTTCGTGCTAATTTCTTTTTTAAATGTTCGGACGAAAAATGAACCAACACAAACTGCCAGACCAGTGGTTCATGCCTGTCTCTAGTTTCAAGCATCTGGTCATGCGATCAAGCCAAATTTGCTGGAAGTGCCTTCCAGACTGAACTGTGGAACCATTTCAAAACTGAATCTGCCCTCCTTATCTGTATCCCTGTGTGTTCTGGGACAATAATGGGAAAGAGGTACTGAGGACTGCAGATGAGCAAGCCATAGGGCAGGAATGTTGTGGGTCCCTTACCAAGAGACCATCAAATTTGGAATTCTAGATGAACCCAAAATGCTTCCTGAGGTCTTTCCACAGTGTCTGAGAAAGAGCATAGCACATTCTATTGTACAGGAAGTAACCCAAGATAATAACATTTGCTAGTGCCTGGATAATTTTGTTTTGAGGGGGCAGACCTGCTGGTCTCTTGCACATGAGTAATCATGGAGATATGTTTGAATTGCATCTGTACACTGGTGAATTGACCAGGGTGTGCAACATTATTTTTAAAAAGACTTGCTAATAGTGTTTGCTATTTAAAGAGTGACAATTTTATATTTTTGTATTTTTAAAAGTACACTTAAATCCTTCCCCATTGCTCCCCAAAGCAACTTTGAAGAAATAACTAGGTAGTGTTAATCATCACACCAAAAAGTAATAATCCTATCAATTGTTGTACTCCTTCAAAACACACACACACACACACACACACACACACACACACACACACACACACACACACACACACACACACACACACACACACACACACACACATCAGATCAGGTTTAATACGGTCACAGACCATTCCAAACGTACAAATAAATGTACAAAACCCAGTAAAACACACATATAAAAATATGTACTAAGTTAAAAGCATCCTAACAAAGTAATACATTATATTACCTTAGTCTGTCTTTCAGGTTCCCACTAATAACTAAAATCAAGTAATTTTAAAATCCTTCCTTTCACGGATTTTAACAGCAGCTACAAGAAATTACGCCACATTGTACCTATATATCGTGTCCAGACAGCAATAAAAGGGTGTAAAAAGCCTCAGAGCATTCAGGGAGTAATTTTAGATGAGGTTCAATAAAATTCTTCCGAATATCAACATAATAAGGACAGTACAGAAGAACATGTGTAACTGTTTCTATTGCACCCAAATTACAAGAACATCTACTTTGAGAGTATGGAATTTTCTTATACTTCCCTTCTAGTCCTGCCGATAGTAATGCATTTAGTCGGGCAAGGGTAAAGGCTCTATGATATTTGGGTATTAACAGTGAGTAAAGGTAGTTAGCTGGTTTAAAAGGCAGTAGCACTTTATCCAAAGAAATACTATTTGATATTGCTCCCAAATGATGTTGACTCTCCACCTCCATGATGTGTTGTTTAAGAGCTTGGTTTGCAAAAGTATCATGTCACAGGTATTGTTTTTAGTTGTCATCAGTTGTTTCCAAACTCTGGACCAGATTCCGCATTATCTATCATACTTCTGCCATCTAACAAGCAGAAAGCTCCGTGGCAGCACAGAGACAATTCACATGGAAGAGCTCATCCGTGTGGTAGCCTGTAAGCATTTCTCTGCCACTCATGTGGCTGGGCTGTGATGTTTAGATCTCTGTAAACCCATACAGGCTGCTTTGGTGCTGCCGCCTCTCCCGGCAGTTATGGCACAATCTCCTTTTTTCAAGCCATGGAAAGTTAATTTTGTCCACAAATTGGACTTGTGTGCCCTGCTGTTCTCCTGTCTTGAACATGTCTCTCTCTCTCTCTCTCTTTGTTGCAGCCAGATATTTCCTGGATCCCAAACAAACATTACTCTGGAATCTATGGGTTGATGAAGCTGACACTTACCAAGGCTCTGCCCTCCAATCTCTCCAAGGTCATTGTCCTGGACACAGACATCACCTTTGCCACAGACATTGCTGAACTGTGGGCTATCTTTGGGAAGTTCTCAGGTAAGTGACAGGTGTTTAAGACCTCTTGGTCATCTCAGAAGACATGCTCAGAGTCTTTTGAGCTGATGATTTTGGCAGTTTTGTTGGTCCTTGATTCTTGGTCTGTTGTTGGTCCTTGACTTATTTTCTACATTATTGGTCTTTCTAGTTGCTGTGCTTCTTGCAAGCTGATTTATCACCTGAAGCAAGCTGTGGGCTGCCTCCATCGGTTGGCTTCCAGGGCTTAAGCCATCTATCCTGGGTTTCAGAGCCCTGAGTTGGAAGCCTGACTAAGGCTGTCAATTAGGCACAGCCTGCTGGCTGCATTTCGTCTCATTTACTTTCTCTTCTAATCCAGACAAACAGGTGATTGGTTTGGTGGAAAACCAAAGTGATTGGTACCTTGGGAACCTCTGGAAGAACCACAGACCATGGCCAGCACTGGGGCGTGGCTTCAATACGGGTAAGTTAAACAGCCTCCACAAGGGTGCTTTTTGATGGGTGCAAGCATACATACACACACGGGTGAGTTTCTAGGCACTGTGATAGCTTCCCTTTGGAGTGAGCAAGCTCCTGCTCCCTTTGGGTGGTAGGCTGAGCCCTGAGTTTGTATGTGAAGAAGATCCAGGCTCAGATATCCCTGTGCATCTTGTAAACTTCTCTGGTTAACCTTTTGCAAGTTAGTTTGGACATCAGGAAAACAACTCCTTTGATGAGAAGTTGAGGGGATTTGGGAAGCTTGCTTGCTTGTTTGCCACCTTTTTCCTTAAAAGGGACTGAAAGCAGCTTACAGCAATTAAAAGACAGTATTTAAGTTTGTAACAATGAATATATAACACTAAAAGCATCAATGAATATGGTACCAAAAAGACAAGCAGCACCAAAACACATTCAAAGCAGTAAGGTATAACGATCCACTAAAAAAAAAAACAACCCTCAGACAGCCAATCATTAATGGAAAGCTTGCCTGAAGAGAAAGGTCCTTACCTGCCTGCGGAAGGACAGTAAAGATGGAGACAGTCTAGCCTCCTGTGGGAGGGAGTTCCAGAGTCTGAGAGCAGCAACAGAGAAGGCCCTCTCCGGTGTCCCCATTAGATGCACTTGTGAAGGTGGCGGGACTGAGAGGCCTCCCCTGCTGACATTAACACTCAAGAAGGCTCATAAAGAGAGATGCAGTCTCTGAGGTAGCTTGGGCCCAAACCAATGAGGGCTTTATAGTTGGAATCATCACTTTGAATTCTGCCCAGGGACAGATTGGCAGCCAGTGTTAGCAATCTGTCTGCTGTGTTTTGGACTCATTGAAGTTTCCTGACACTTTTCATAAGCAGCCTCGCATAGAGTTACAGTAATCTAGCTGGGATGTAACCAATGCATGTGTCACATAAGCAGTCTCACGTAGAGTTACAGTAATGTAGCTGGGATGTAACCAATGCATGTGTCACGGTGACCAAATCTTAGGTTGCAGAACACAAGAAGATTTTCCTGAAAGGGAACAGAAGCACACAGTGCAAATACCTGAAGGCCTCTCACCTGGAAGAAGGGAAACTGTTCTCTACTGCCCCCCAGAGGGCAAAATCAACCTAGCGGCTGTTTATCCTGACAGGTCATGAGGATTTTGTGGCCCCACCTGGTGGTTGTGCCGAGAATTGCTTGCCCCCTAAGACAAGCTGTGGAGAAATAAATGATGGTTCTTTGTGTGAGAGCTGCTCTCTGTGGGAAACAAGCATGGGTTCCTTCCTGCCCCTGGAACAGAGGCTTGGGCCTGTCTCACTTAGTCTGTCCAGTTACTTTCTTTCCTTGCAAGTTAGCAGACAGGAGGGCCAGGCAGGCATGCCAGGGGTTAACGACCACGTGCTCTTCCCAGGCTTGCCCAAGAGTTCTCTTTCAGGCCCTCGGCCGCCTGCTGTGGACTTTTTGTGGGCCCGCTCCCTCCTTCCTTTTTTGACTGGTCTCCCCTTTCACAGCCATGTAAAGGCCTGCAGGCCACCCAAGTAAATGGCCTTTCCTCTTGGAAATCCTGGGGCCCATGGGCATGCATGCCTGTGCTGGCTGGAGCATGCGCACTTTGAGTGACTGTTAGAAACTCACTATGTGTGTGTGGTGGGGAGACATTTAAGAAGAATGCTGGGGATGTGTGTCAGGATGAGGACAGCCATACAGAGGAAGAGGAGAGTCACTTCCGCACACTGCCCTGGGCCAAGCTGTCCCCCCCCCCCAAGGATTGGTTCTGGCCTTCCTGAGGAGTTGTCCTTCTCTGCATGCAAAACCTGGGTGGGCAGCTTAGGCCTTCCTGATACTTCTGGAGTGCAGCTTCCACAGCTGCTTGCCATTAGCTACGTTGGCTGGGGCTGATGGGATCTGTAGGTGGATGGCTGCAGTTGCCCACCTTCCACAGCAGAGAAGGTTAAGTTCTCCAACTGCTGGTTGGTCCCAGAACATGCAGTACAGGAATAACACTGGGACCCAAACCTAGAGGTGGTGCAGTTAAGATTGAAGATCAGGACAAGCTTCGGGATCTGGGATCTTTCCTTTTCCAAACACACCCATTATTCAGAGCCAGACCCAGGAACACATTGGGAACTTTTGTCAAGGAGTTCATAGCTTCTTTTGCTACCTAGGTGTGATCCTGTTGCTGCTGGAGCGCCTGCGCAGAATTGGCTGGGAGCAGATGTGGCGGCTGACAGCTGAGCAGGAGCTCATGAGCATGCTGTCCACTTCACTGGCAGACCAGGCAAGTGGGTCTGAGTTTCGCATGCCTGACTATCCTTTTAGCACTTTCTGACCTCTTGGGCAGAGGCAGGACTATCCTTTCAGCACTTTCTGACCTCTTGGGCAGAGGCAGGGTGTTGCATATGATAAAGACCACTTTGTTTTCTCCTGGCTACATCCCATGCCTCCCTTTACGTTGGGCCCTTCTCCTCTTCCAGAGTGCAAACTGCAATCTCTCTTCTAGGACATCTTCAATGCAGTCATCAAACAGAGCCCAACATTAGTGTACCGGCTCCCTTGTTCAGCACTTTCTGACCTCTTGGGCAGAGGCAGGGTGTTGCATATGATAAAGACCACTTTGTTTTCTCCTGGCTACATCCCATGCCTCCCTTTACGTTGGGCCCTTCTCCTCTTCCAGAGTGCAAACTGCAATCTCTCTTCTAGGACATCTTCAATGCAGTCATCAAACAGAGCCCAACATTAGTGTACCGGCTCCCTTGCTTCTGGAATGTGCAGCTCTCTGATCACACCCGTTCAGAGCAGTGCTATACGGAGGTGTCTGATCTCAAGGTGAATATTTCTTCTTTGGCAGATTTCTGTCAGTATATAGTACAGTAGGACCTCCCTATCCATAGGGATCAGTATCCACTGATTCATTTACCCACTGCCTGAAAATATTAAATAAAAAAATAGAAATATTTTAATATGTATTTACCAGAACTGGTCATTAGAGGGAGCCCAAGACCATGCAATGTAAAACATTTTATACATACTTCCTTGCTTTTTGGCATCTGCTGGAGGACTTGGAACCGGTTTCCCGCAGATACCACAGTCTTAATGTATATATAATAATTGAAAATAAAATAACAACCAAACTATTATGGCACCTTAAAAATCAGTAGATTTGATTCAGTGTGAGCTTTTGTGGGTTACAACCCACTTCTTCAGATACACTGAAACTTACCTGTTTAATCTGCCAAGAAACTTTTTTTTAAATCTTGTTTTTGTTTTGGTCATGGACTCCTTGGCTGAAACTCCCTGGATTTCTTTAATTGTGATCAGTTCTCCTTGGCAGAATATTCTAGCCTCTCCCAGCCTAGACAGACAATGGAGTTGGGAAGAAGTGAACTGTTTTGGACGACAGCATCCAAACTGGTCCATCTAGCATGGCCCTCAAGATGCTTTGTATTGCAGTGACCATGGTGGCTGGTATTTTGTGAACTGTAAATTCAAGAAGCTAGCTCTTCTTGTCTCTGGGTACTGTGTTTGCTTGGAGAGCTCATACATCTTGCCAGTGCTGTGGTGTGGGGTGGCATCCTCGGCAGGCTCTAAGTTTTTAACATTTATCTTCTCAGGTAATTCACTGGAACTCTCCCAAGAAGCTGCGAGTGAAGAACAAGCATGTGGAGTTTTTCCGGAACCTCTACTTGACCTTCTTGGAGTATGATGGCAACCTGCTGCGTAGAGAGCTCTTTGGCTGTGCCAGCCTTCCCAGCTTTCCCAGTGGCCAGGTAAAGAACCTGCCTCACTGTTGTCTTCCTGTCATGTCTGAATTGGAAGGCCTTTACAGACATCCTGTTCATTCTTGTGTGGCTGGTGGTGATTCCCAAATTCTCCATGTGGGTCATATTATACTATCTGCTACCCCTGGACCGTTGGTCCACTCTCTTTTCTTTAAGATGAGGTATCTGCATTGCAGCTCTGCTTCCAGTTGAGGGTGACCTTAAGTCTGTGTCCCTGCAGATGGACCACAGTATTTTGCAGTATGAAGCAAAAGAACAAATGCAGTCAAAGATGTTTAATCATTATAGCTACGGCATCCAGGCCATTTTGGCACTGAAGGAAGAAGATCCTATAAACTGCTTTCTTCTTCCCTAGCAGTAAAAACAAAATGGCCAGAATCCTCTTGGTGTTCACATAAAGTCTGCATAACGTGCCACAACAAGGTGCTGGTGCTGTTTGCTACGTGGCCAGGATATGAGCAAGATGTGCTGCACCGCATTATCAATTAGCTTCATTTAACCATGGCAAGTTACAGAAACCTTACGCAGACACCAATAGGATTTGGACCAATTAAAAAAAAAGGAAGACAATATAAATTAAATAACTAATATTTTCCTGTCACTTCAGAACATCTAAACTTAGCTGGCTCAGGCAGCTGCATCTTTCTAATCACTTGAAACACTGTGAACATGGAAAACCCAATTTCATTTCCATTAGGGGCAGTTCCAGGTCTCAGAAGGACTTCTTGTTGTGAAATGGAGGTGACCTGGTTGGTCATTTCCTGTTTCTTAACAAGACTGTTTAAGCCTAAGACAGGCCGAAGAGAGGGCAAAATTAACATTATAGAGCATATATTTCAATTCATGGGACTCTTAAAAGCATTTTGGGGACAGGTTTTTCCCTTGGGGTGTTTTGAAGAGGATAGGGGTGGAATATCTTTGCAGGGGTGTGGGATCCTCGCGTGTCCAGGGGAGGTCAAAAACAGTCTCTGGTTCTTTGACAGATACCCACCTTGGGTTCTGATGGGACAAAAGGCATTGTTTGCTCCCACCTTGTCCAGATGTATCCACAGACTTTTGCCAGCATTGCTTGCTCTCCTCAGTTCTTATCTCTAAATTGTTATGGGAAACTTTAAGAAAACACTCAACCATCCTCTCCTGTTTGCCTGGAACAGTACATATGCTTTATTTTAGTTTTGGCTCATTCATGTTATCTTGCAGTTTGACACATATATTTAGGCTTCCTACTCCCCCTGGGTTCTTAGGTGGCTCCCTGTTTTAAAGATGCACACAAGATGCTCTGCTTCGCTCTACATCAGCTTGGCATCTTTGATGTTTTTCCTCTTCTCCTGACTTATCTGTACATTTCAGCTGCAGCAAGCCCTGGAGGAGCTGGATGAAGATGATCCTTGCTACGATTTTCGGAGGCAAAGCCTTATTCAACATCGTGTGCATCTCTTCTTTCTTCAGTATGACTTCCCAGCCTCAAATAATGATGCTGATGTGACTCTTGTAGCTCAGCTGTCCATGGACAGGTATGAGGTGGGGGGCTGTGTGATGCTGCAGCTGGTGAGTGAGGATGGTGGAGTGGTTGGTGTCTCTTTTAGCAAAGCTTCTGATGTTTGTAAGGCAGGCTTGGGTCAGTGTTGGGCACTCCCCATTGGGTTTGTTGCCCCAGGAGGCCCCTTGTGCCAAAGATAAGTTGCATTTAACAAATGGTAGGAGTGTATGTGTTATCCTGAGACCCTCTGCTTCTGTTCTCTCTTTCTCTTTAAATATTTAAACAGCTGAGTAAAGGGCAGAACTCTAGATATTGCAGTGCAGTTTCCAGCATCCTTCACCATGAGTTCTTCTGGCTCAGGTTGGTCCAAGAACATCTGGAGGGCTGCGCTGTGTCCCCCGATTTAAAAGAATACATTTTAAACATGTGGGCTGTTGAGAAATATTTGTGAATAACATGAATCGATGTCTGCTGTGGATTAAAACCAGGAAAGTGGTGGCAACTTTCAAAAGATGCTATTTTGAATTTTAAAAGCAGTGAACTTAGATGAACAATTGCAGATCTTGACAGCTACCCTTTTATGTGGGTATCACATAAGATGAGAGATGCCCACAGAAAGTCTTCTCGTCTGGGTTTTTGTTCGTTCTTGGGCTTGGCACCACTTACGTGATAGCCTGTGTTTTTGGTTTCTTTTGTGAAAGCTTTTATGATTTAAGCTACTAATCTCTAGTAGAAAACATGATGTCTGCTGGGGATTAAAACCAGGAAAGTGGTGGCAACTTTCAAAAGATGCTATTTTGAATTTTAAAAGCAGTGAACTTAGATGAACAATTGCAGATCTTGACAGCTACCCTTTTATGTGGGTATCACATAAGACGAGAGATGCCCACAGAAAGTCTTCTCGCCTGGGTTTTTGTTCGTTCTTGGGCTTGGCACCACTTACGTGATAGCCTGTGTTTTTGGTTTCTTTTGTGAAAGCTTTTATGATTTAAGCTACTAATCTCTAGTAGAAAACAAGAAAGGAATAGAAAAGCTAGGGAGTCATGGGGGATCATAGAATATAACGATAGGTTATTAACCAAATTACTTACCAGGACTCTGAGATATTGCCAACGTAGAATATTACAGGTGCTTTCAGGTCTGTGGGTGTTTGCTTTTGCTTTTTGGGAGTCTGTGACACTCTTGATTTTTCTCCTTGATCAACAGGTTACAGATGCTGGAGGCCATTTGCAAACACTGGACAGGCCCTATCAGCCTGGCATTGTATATGTCTGATGCTGAAGCCCAGCAGTTCTTGCGCTACGCTCAGGCCTCAGAAGTGCTGAGCAGCCGCAGGAATGTTGCCTATCACATTGTGTACAAGGAGGGACAGTTTTACCCTGTGAACCTCTTGCGCAACATAGCGCTGAAGAACGCACAGACGCCCTACATCTTCCTGACGGACATTGACTTCCTACCTATGTATGGCCTCTATGATTACCTCAGGTGGGTGTCTTGTGGGACCCACAGAGTTGGGATAAGGCAAGAGTGTACCTTTCTGTGCTTCTCCTAAAGGGACCAGAATGCTGAGGATTAGCCAGGCTTCCCTTCCATGGACTGACTGTGTGGATGCTTTGTGATCCAGACTGCTCTTCCTATACTTTTGGCAGGAGCATCATGAGGTAGTGATTCCAGCAACCTCCTTGAGTCCTGAAAACTGCTCCAGTATGCTGGGACACCCTGTAGGGGGCAGAAAATAGAGGTCTGAATGCTGGTGCTGACACAGTGTTGGATTTAGGTCCATACCTTGACTACAGTGGTGCCTCGACTTTTGAACTTAATCCATATTGGAATGGTGTTATTAAGTCAAAATGCTCGTAAGTCGAATCAGCATTTCCCACAGGAATGCACTGAAACTGGATTAATCGATTCCAGCTGTTTTTTGTTATGTCGAGGCACCGTTCTTAAGTCGAAGCATTCGTTCCCATAGGAACTAATGCAAAGCCTGTTAATCCATCCTCTACCACTGGGGGGGGATTTTTAAAAAAAAACCTAAGATGAACTTGGGTTAAAAAAAGGGCAGGAAAGGAGGGAGGAAACAATGGGGAAAAGAGGAAAGAAAGAAAAAAGGTCATCACTGGAGCACACAGACCCTTCAGTGATGTGCTTTTAAGCTTTATGCTTTTAAGCACAAAAAGAGAGAAGACAGAGAGAAAGAAGACAAAGAGGGGGAGAGACTTGAGTCTAAACTGCATTGATGAACTTGGGTTAAAAAAAGGGCAGGAAAGGAGGGAGGAAACAATGGGGAAAAGAGGAAAGAAAGAAAAAAGGTCATCACTGGAGCACACAGACCCTTCAGTGATGTGCTTTTAAGCTTTATGCTTTTAAGCACAAAAAGAGAGAAGACAGAGAGAAAGAAGACAAAGAGGGGGAGAGACTTGAGTCTAAACTGCATTTTACAGCCTGCCTGCATCAACAGCCAGCAACTATTATTGCAGCAAACAGATCCCCTCAGCACAAAAAGACAGCAGAGAAAGAGAGAGAGAGAGAGAAAGAGAAGACAATTGGGGGGGGGGAGACTTGAGTCTAAACTGCATTTTCAGCCTGCCTGCATCAACAACCAGCATAGCCCCTCACAGAATATTTTCTGATTTTAAGAAAAAAAGACTTTGAAGCCAGATTTTAAACCCACACATTTTAAAACAAAAGAGAGGTCACAGTACACAAACCCTAGGAGCCACAGAATGCAAAAATAAATAAATAAATTTTACATTTTAAAATTACTGTACAGTCTAATTTTCACATTTAATTTTAATTTAATATTACAGTCTACTTTTCACGTTTTAAATCCATACTGCAAGACCCATCAGAGCACAGAAACATAACCCCCCACTTAGCCCTACCCCCCCACCAAGCTGCAAAAAAAATTCTGTACAGTAAATACAATGTACTCACCCAGAACAGGCAGTCTCTCTGTTTTAAAAAAGAAAGTCAAAAATCCAAAAATCAAAAATTAAAAAAAGCCCCAAAAATACAGTAGGTACAGTACAGTACCAGGCAGTCTGAGGTCTCTCTCCATATCCACTCTCTAACCACTGGGACAAGCGAGGTAGCAGACAAGCAGCCTCTTCGCTAGCCAACGGCTAACTGAAAATTCAAATTTTGCGCTTTCCCTGCTTTCCCAGTGTTTTTTTGTTCATAACTCGAAGCTCTGTTCACATGTGGAAGCAAAATTTTGAGAATGGAGGTGTTCGTAAGTTGAAATGTTCATAAGTAGGGACGTTCGTAAGTCAAGGCACAACTGTATAGTGTTAGTTCTCTCTTCTGGGTGTGACCCTGCTTGTTGGAACGTGCATCTCTTTTTCCTCCTGCCTTTTGCCTCTAACTTGGCCTTTCTGAACTTGTGTCCAGTTATAGATTCTTGCCCCCCCAAGGATTTTTTTGCAGTTTTTATTTATTTTAAAATAATTTTCTAAAATACAAAAAACCGTAAGAACACAAAAAAGAAAAAGAAAAGAAAAAAGAAAAAAACCAGACCACGTATACAAGAAAAAAAGGGGGGAAAACTAACCCCTCTATTTAAAGTACACCCTCCCCCCTTTGGAGTCAGAAACTCCAGCCTCGTTAGCCCCTCTACTCTCCCTATATCGATTTCCAGCATATACTAAATGGACATACATATATCATAAATTTTACCCTACACTCCTGTCTTCTTCTGGGCCCAAGAATATATTAGTCCCCAGCTTTGT